GTGATGGTGAGTGGTGATGGTGAGTGGTGATGGTGAGTGGTGATGGTGAGTGGTGATGGTGAGTGGTGATGGTGAGTGGTGATGGTGAGTGGTGAGTGGTGATGGTGGGTGGTGATATTGAGTGGTGATAGTGAGTGGTGATAGTGAGTGGTGATAGTGAGTGGTGATGGTGAGCGATGGTGAGTGGTGATGGTGAGTGATGATGGTGAGTGATGGTGAACTGAGCATATGGTGAGTGGTGATGGTGAATATGGCACTCATTTCAAAAATTGTATTCTATTTTATAAAAAATCATGAGTTCTTAAATTCTCTGAAGCACAATTTTCTAGGTAGACATCGTAAATATAATTAAAATTTCATACAAACTTGTGATCCTATATAGACAATAAAGATCAAACTTGAACTTCATGTATGAACTGTTTCAATAATCCTGATTTGTGGCTTTGATTTTGAAAATGGGGAAATATTATAATCTGTATATTATAATAATATATAATAAATATTTTATTTAATAATATTATGTATTGAAATAATAACGTTATTTTTGCGCTTGTTTTTTGAAATAGTTTTCAAAATAAGTAGGATTCTCATTTTGAACATATTATCTTTTATTGTAAGATATTATATATTGAAATAATAACCTAAGTTATGCACTTGTAAGATAGCTGAAAATTATTAGAATAGCATATCTTTAAATTAAAAAGTAGTTCAGTTAATAAAATGATAATTAAAGAAAACGATTTTTCATTGCAGTGGAACAAAATGACAAAACAGGGTCCACTATTCTCGTGGGAACTCGAAGCTTAGCAATGGACAAAAACGATAAAATTATATAAGATTTTTAATAAAAACGTAGTTTTTCTATCTGATTCGAATGATAAATGTAACATGTATGATAAATATTACCTTTAATATTATAAGTAATGTTTGAAATTACTTTATTTCTATTTTATTTTGCAGTTGACAACTACGCGCCGCGGTTCCTGGTGCACCGCGCCACGACCGTAGTGCCCGTCAACGTCACGGGTCAGATGAAAATATTTGCTTCTTAATTTAAACACGTTCAGTTATTTTAGAAGCAATATATAGTTCATTTTGAATAAGAATTTACTTTGGAATTATTTAAGTTGATATTACTTATCATGCATCTATTGAAAATTGTTCAAAGTTAATACGGAATAACTTAATTTTATGCGGCAATATCAGAGGTGAGATGAGATCTTTACATTTTATATCTTATATGACATTTAATATATTATATGACAATTAATTAGTTTTGTTACTACTAATAATAACATTTTTAAAACAAATGTACTTTCACTTGCTAAAATAACATGAAATTAGCTACATAAAAGATGTCCACTCCATCTCTGTCAATCCCACCAGCCAACACAGTCGATGTTGAATATCCCGATACTTAAAAAAATAAAATTGTTTGGCAGCCAATATCCAATCGTGGCAGCCAATATCCAATCGTGGCAGCCAATATCCTATCAGATGGCAGCCAATATCGACTAGTGATGCTGGAGAAATGGTGATGGAGTCAGACTATGGCAATCTAAATGTTGGCCACTTAGTTATTTATTGTATTACAAGTGGGGAATGTGGAGCTGTACAGTTCGGTCATCCATTTTTTATAGCATTCACAGAATAATAAAAGTTTACCACTCAAAATTTAATGAGAGTTTTTGTACACAAAAGCGTATAACTTACTGAAAGCCTCAAGCATATTCACAAGCCTCATCTTCCTCTTTTATTGCAGTGCCCCATAACCATGTATGGAATTGGCATACTTTTTGACGGTACTGAATCTAAATGGGGGCAAAATTTATCCTAAAATTTTACGAAGAGGAAAAATTGCGCATAAATTGAAAAATCCCTCCTTGATGATCGGTTTCAATTTAAAGACGTTCTATGGCCTTATATGGATTTCATCCAAAATTAAAATTTTTATGGAGAATCTATTAAAATGATGAATAGGCGATGATTGAAGGTTCCGATACGCTGCTATGTACGATGAGATGCCTGATTGGACACCATTTAAATAAAAACTAAAACACCATGTTTAAATACCTATTAAATATAATCACATTTCTGATTCCTAAAAAAATCTTACATTTATAACTTCAAGCACTCAGAATATACGATGTTGTTTTGTCTCCAAACTTGGAGGCAAAGAACATCTGCCTACATACCGTCCGATGAGATTACCTTTCTCCTGCACTCAGAGGAATAGGTGACACTTTGTCCAAATATTGATGAAATTTGTGCCCTGGGCCCATACTTTCAAAAAAAGTTAAGAGATCGTAAGTTCATCAGCCAACTATTGACTGTCTTTCAAGCCAAATCCACCAATCATAGACAAGAAAATAGAGCGTAAGTACTTGCGTTCACTTAGCGAACTTTGAAAGTATGGCCCCTGGTCTGGATGTACTTCTCTAACACTCAGTATGCCCCGATACAATTTGTCCCAGCATATGGACGAATAAGTCTTAAATCCACTCTCTGACAGTGCTGAGTGCGACAAAGTGTGTCACAATAGGGCAAATATGACCCAATTGTTTTTCCGAGTATAGCAGAAGAGATGGCCCGTTTGAGTCAAGGGACCTGAGATTATGTGACTAGCGCTTGAATTTCTCCAGGTTTTTATTTCCCTGAAGCGTCGATAAAGAAGGTTTGTGTCGCTGCAAATGATAGCAATGCTGCGTGGAGCCTCTTAGCTCTGTGAGATCTCGAGATCTGGAGATTACGCGCTTGAAATAATTCTCGTGAGTATTAAGCAGGAAATTAAAATATTTCCTGTAATGGAAGGACTCTATTGAATTACGATAAGTTAATGAGAACCTCTGGTGTGTATGAATTAAGAAAATGGTAATCCATTCCGGTATAAAATATGGCCTCCAATAAAGAGCCTCATTGACTTACATGTTTTATTTTCAAAGCACGGTAACCACTTAGTCTCGAGGCGTGTAATTTTACATAGGCCTCTCTAGAAAAAAAACAGGGGTAATCGTGTAGGTTATTTTATATATATTAATAAGTTTGAGACTTTTTAGAAGGCAATCGGCCTGAGATCGTCGGTCCATTAATGGAAATTTGTTTAGAACCTTTATAATGTTAAACTAAACTAAAACAATTCATTAAAATTAACAAAAAAATAAGTTAATAATAAGGCTGAAAATCAAAATCGAATGCCATATAGTGAATTTTAAGTAGATTATAAAGTACGAAATTTTATATTTTAGGAACAAGGTCTTGTTATCGACAAAAAGTCACAAGACCAAACCGAATGGATTATTCTAAAATGCGAAACAAGGATATCATGGTACACTCAAATAAATAGATGGGCCATTTGTTCGAAATAAGGACACGCTTGCTGAGCGTACCACTGATATTACGTCCTTTTTTCTGGCCAAACTGTGTAGAGATGATCCTATATAATGGCAAAAGTGCATCGGTCTTTGGACAAAACCTTATTGATTTTGCTAAGTGTACTTAATAAGTGAAAGAAATTCGCATATATGTTTTCTATTACAATACATTTCGAAAAAATATTTCGATTTCAAAATATATAAAATGTTTTATAGCGGATCGATTGGTTTCGAAACCGCTACAATTTAAGAACTTAGAACGGGGATTATAACACGAATTTGCCGAGGATAGTGTTCAAAGTGTATTTTGTTAAGTATAGAGGTTGCAACTGTAGAATGAACGAACGGCTATAATACTAGTTGCATAATACATATCGAGATGAATAAATGAAGTACATTATATAAGTAAATATTACAAATTAGATCAATATAACAGGAGCTATTTAATGTCTCACCCCAAACATTGGCGGACCAGGCTGTTACGATACTACAGATAAATGAATCGACGAAGAAACAAAATGTCAATCTATAAGTAGCTCGGATGGTTTGCGAAAAAGATAAATATTCTAGAAAATTAAAAAACTGATAACAAAGATAAATAGTGTCCCTACAGTTTCAATAGATTTTCGATTAAAATCAAATTCTTTATACAACTTAATGCAAAAGAAACTTTATTATTTTCCCAGGTTCGACATACCGTGCGTGGGCCTCAGACGACGACCTGGGCCTGACGTGCCCCCTGGGCCCAGGCGAGTCTGCCCGTTGCCCGTGCGCCTCCTTCACGTACCAGCTCTTCAGCCCGTCGGGGGACCACAGGTTTGCCCTGCACCCGTCAACGGGTCTGCTGGTCAGGAGAAGACCTGCCGCCACGACGGTGGGCCTGCGGGAGGGGAAGACTTACAAGTACAAACTCATGGTCCAGAGTGAGTCTTGGATGTTATATAGTGATATATTATGTTGATAGTATAGTGAAAATATGATATTGTACATGTAGGGCATACAAGTACAAACTCATGGTCCTGAGTGAGTCTAGAATGTTATTCGAATGTGTATGTAATTTTGATAGTATAGTGAAAATATGATATTTTACATGTAGGACTAAGTACTGTTCACTGTACTATTAGACATGTATCCTACATGTACACACTCTCGAGGAGTTCTTCTAAGTTTAAGAATAAAGGCTAAAACTAAAAAAGTTGCATAAAACATTTTACTGAATAGAAGTCCTAGATAAACAAAACAGAACGTTTCGGGCTATGCCCATCATCAGCTAGTAAAATACATCTGGAAATACATGGAAATCAATTTTAGTAAATAAATTTAGAAAATGATAAGGAAAGAAAGGAAAACAAACACANCACTTGCTCCTCCCGTGTCCATCAATCAATTTAAAATTCTTTGTAACGCTAGCAGCCAAACCGATTTACGAATTTTAGAGTCTCTTTACATCCATAAACTTAAACCTAAATTGAATAACCAATCCAGCTCTTCTCCTCTTTCGATTCTAGGTCAATAGTTGTGTTTGTTTTCCTTTCTTTCCTTATCATTTTCTAAATTTATTTACTAAAATTGATTTCCATGTATTTCCAGATGTATTCTACTAGCTGACGATGGGCATAGCCCGAAACGTTCTGTTTTGTTTATCTAGGACTTCTATTCAGTAAAATGTTTTATGCAACTTTTTTAGTTTTAGCCTTTATGTACAAACTCATGTTGCAGAGTGAGTCATGTATGTTATTCGCTGGTAAGTTGATATTTATTTTTAATAGTATAGTGAAAATATGATATTGTATGTGTAGGACTTGGAGGTAGGACTTGAAACAGCGAACTGGACTAGTATAACGAGTATAAGATTAACATCAACACACAAGTGCAAAGTCATGATCCAGAGTGAGTCAAGAATGTTATTCTTTAGTATAGTGATATATATTATCAATAGTATAACGAAAATATAATGTGATATTCACTGTACTATTGTATATGTATCCTACATGTACAAGTAGGTCTTGTAAATATAGAACACGGCCAAGCTAACCAGCGGACTGGAGGAGGACAAGACTTATATTTACAAACTCTTGATGCAGAGTGAGTGATGAATGTCATATAGGGAAATATATTTTCATTGTTTAGCGATTATATATTATATATTTCAAATGGTGACTGGAATGGAAATATGCTCGATATATTTGTTTATTTAATATTTAAATTATATACTAAATTTAACATGATCGTGATGATCAGTCCCTTTCTGTTATTTGGATGATTTCCGTAAATATTATTCAGATTCAAACCCAAGGATTAAGCCTTTCTAACTTGTAAAAAGTAATATTAAAAGTTTCAGCTGATAATTTTGGCTGATGAATTAGACGTATATATTGTTAAATTTACTTATATTGAAACTTTCATTATCAACGACAGATTATTCTTTATGTCAAATTAAAGACAATTAAATCATTAAACCACCTAATAAATAATTAGATTTGCGCAACAGTTATGAACCCTAAAGTGGAACGTTAGATCACAAAATATTCCGGTTGATTTTTTTTTTCAATTGAAATGCGAAAAGGTCATCATTTCTCTAGTTCAAAAGCGTAAATTATAAAGTTCTAAAAAATTCTAAATTTCTCATGCATTTTTTTTAAAGTTAAGAAAAAGTTCTTGAGCGAAACAAAATTTTTTTTACAGACGTCTCTACGTAACATTAACATTAACAATAACATTAACATTAACATTAACATTAACATTAACATTAACATTACCATTAACATTAACATTAACATTAACATTGACATTGACATTAACATTAACATTAACATTAACATTAACATTTACATTAACGTTAACATCAACAATAACATTAACATTAATTAACATACGTCACTAATCTCAGCACCTGAGCGTCAGGCAGGCCAATAAATGTTATCTAATTAATGCATCTAATTAACTACGTAAGCTCATTAATGAATCAATTAACGAGATTGTATTCGGTCTGAGTGAGACAATTGCCATATATTTTAGCAGTTATGTGATATTTATTTAGTGAAGGCTGACATAGTAATTATAAAATGGTCACATATTTTGACAATTATTCTTTTTCGGTGTAAATTAAAATTATGAAAAATTTGCAATAATATTATTCCGAAAATATTTCAAATTATTCGAGGATTAAGCACTAAATCCAACATTGCTGGATAACTCATATATGAAAAATTGAACATTGATTATTATGAAAAGAATTATAATACTATTGAATTTTTGATTATATATTTATGATAAACAAGTTAACTATTGTCGTAAGGGAGAAAATACGTAATATCCAACCATAACTGATATTTAGAACAAATCTTTAAGGGAAAATTGATGCGAAGAAGAATAACTTGACTTCGATCAATTGAGGAATAAGAATGACTTCCATTATTTAAGAACTATTATTTAAAGGTTAAAAATGGGTTTAGCGATTAAAAGGGGTTTAGATGTTAAAAATTCTTTTACTAGAATGAGAATGACATATATTAATCAAGGATTTGGATTGCTTACATAAATTAAAAGAACAGTGATAACTTCTATTATCTAAGGTTTGAAATTCACTTTCATATTCGATATATTTATATGTTGAGTTCATATTTATGTATTATATATTACACATTCCCCTCCTACAGGCGTGCTGGTGCCGGGGTACTCCAAGGAGCGCCTCTACGACGTCCTTGACTTGGAGATTTTCGTTGGTCCAGCGAACCTCTAAAAATCTCCATGGATTTAACCATATACGGACTCCATAAACTGAAGTTTAATTATTTATATATCTACGTGTACACTCATAGAGGCAAATGGGTCATATTGTCAAAATAGTGACACTCTTTCTTACCCACGAGTAAAGAGTGGACGTAGCACTGATACGCCCCAAACTGGGTCAGGCTGACCCACGCAAAAGAAGAAAATGCCTTGATTTTTTCGACAATTGCTCACTCATTTTACTGGGTGTAGGTTCAAAACAAAATTATCAAAAATGCAGTTCGCTGTTCAATAATATTTAAAAATTGTATTTTTTTTAAAAAACTCAAATTTTAATTTCTTTCAATTTCAAACAAATGATAAATGCGTATCAAATTATTTGCATATCATAAATGTAATGAAGTAACAATAAAAAAGTTTATAACGTTGTACGAAGAGAAAACTATAACAACTTAGATCCCCAGGGATTAGAACGAACAAACTCTATGTGCACTCTATATGTCTATTTAATTATAGATGTGATATAATCAGATTAGAATATGTTTATTATAATGAATAATAATAGATATGATCGTGGGGACATTAGCTTAGACGGCTCCAACACTCAGGCAAGCAAATGGTTCATAATGTCTAAATAGTGACTCATTTTTGGCACTAATAAGAACTATGGACGGACTTAAATGGCCAGGAAAACTTAGCCAAGCAGGGCCAAAAATTGAATAGTTTTTAGATATTGTTACACTCATTTCAATGAGTGAAGGCTTCAACTTTCGAATTTTACGGAGCTGGTTAGTTTATTAAAGACTCGATAGAGCGCTTAACTATAATTAATAATATTGCATTATTAATATATGAAAAATATAGGAATATTACGAAGAATTTCAGGAACCTTTCGTTGGTTCAAATTTGTACTATGGGGCAATGATACTGAAAATTTTATGTTGAAACAATTATTGAGAACTTCTTATATGAGGTGAAAAATATACATGCAGCTGTTCTTATATTAAATAAAATTTATCGTTTTTGTTTTAAATTGAAAATATATTTTTTTCTATATCGATGACATTTTCATCAACTTGTACAAATCTCCTTTCAATTTTGAATTGCTGCACGACACATCTACTTGAATTTTACATCTCTAAGTGATTCCAATTTTATTCAAATATTTTATTTATACCAAAATCTACCATATGAAATATGTATTTTATTTATTCAAGAATAGATTAAAGTGATTACAGCAAAGTGAATTATAATTATAAAATTTGAGATTCAATGTCTTGAATTTTTTAAATTATTTAAATTATTTTGTATATAAATTTATATTACTGTATAACAACGACATTTTTTGTATATCGTTCGCATTCTAAGATCGCGTTTGTGAACGAAGAATAATGAATATATTTGTTGAATGTGATTGAATAAAGAATTATTTATCTAGATGTTATCTGTAAAATTTGATTATTAATAAAAATTGTGTGAAATTTTCACATTATGAAATATTTTTCATAAATACGACATTAGTGAATATTTGAAAAAAACGATAATTCCTGCGCATACTAAGTTAAAATTATAACATAAATTCATATAATGAATTATATGAATTTGTATGAACAAACAATTAATTTGTTTATATATTTCAATATCCTTCAGAAGATAGAGAAACACGATCAGAATTACCAGAAGCTGTCACCGGGCAAAACGGGCGATACTTTCCAATACAATATTCAATAATATTTTGCATTGAACAAATCAATTGTTTAATATACGATTTAATTATATATTATATAAGTTAATTGCATATTATACAATTCGATTGTATATTATGGAAATTAAATTGTATATTCGACAGTTTACTTCTATAGTTGACAATTCAATTGCACCTAATACAATTCATATTACACAATTCAATTATATTATTAAGCTGTTACAAATTTGTTCAATATTTTAAATTGTAATAGAATAATAATTGTTCGAATTATCAGGAATTTTGGACTATAATTTCACAGCCAGGAACATCGTCCCATTTCCGACTCACATAATTGTCCCATTTCTGACTCGCATAATTGTCCCATTTCCGACTCGTGTAGCCCCGGAAATGAAATGGAATCTGGTCCACAAACCCCGCAGACTTACAGCGCATACTCTCAGATAAATACTGACATCAGATAAATAAATAAATACAGCGCATACTCTCAGACTGACAGCGCATACTCTCAGACTGACAGCGCATACTCTCAGACTGACAGCGCATACTCTCAGATAAATAAGTGGGCAATGTTGTCCAAATAGTGACCTTGTGTACCACAGCCCGAGCATATAGCAGGCGTAGCACTGATACGTCGTATGGTGAGACAAACTGGGTTGAGATGACCCACATGAGGGCAACAGTGCGTCGATATTTGGACAAAATTTCACTCATTTTTCTGGGTGTGGATTTTAGTGGCTTCTGTGTAATGCAAATTATTTTTTTTTTGTGAAATAATTTTGACTAAAAAATAAAATAAATTTGGTGTATCAAATTTGATTATAGTTTTTCGGGGAACAATATATCAGTAATGTTTTTTTATTCGAATTAAACAAATTCTGTTTTTTATTGTATAATTTGTAGAAGTGCTATAAAATATACCGATTTTTTGGTAAAAAATAGCATTTTTATCATGTTAACTGATTTAATGATTTTCCATTTAATTAACTTCCGCTGAATATCTATGAATAACCTCTTCAAAATATGTGTTTTATACGAGTATGTACAATATAACTACTACATATCAAAATGTATCGCATAGGATAAAAATTCAATGACAATCTCAATGTAAATTTATAAAATTAATGAGAAAATGAAACCTGCGATGATATTTTACCATTTCCCATCAAGTAGAGAAAACCTGCATTAAATGAAAATGTCAACTTTTCAACATAACNGAGTCACCAAAGTGAGACACCTGGCTTTGAGTCACCAAAGTGAGACACCTGGCTTTGAGTCACCAAAGTGAGACACCTGGCTTTGAGTCACCAAAGTGAGACACCTGGCTTTGAGTCACCAAAGTGAGACACCTGGCTTTGAGTCACCAAAGTGAGACACCTGGCTTTGAGTCACCAAAGTGAGACACCTGGCTTTGAGTCACCAAAGTGAGACACCTGGCTTTGAGTCACCAAAGTGAGACACCTGGCTTTGAGTCACCAAAGTGAGACACCTGGCTTTGAGTCACCAAAGTGAGACACCTGGCTTTGAGTCACCAAAGTGAGACACCTGGCTTTGAGTCACCAAAGTGAGACACCTGGCTTTGAGTCACCAAAGTGAGACACCTGGCTTTGAGTCACCAAAGTGAGACACCTGGCTTTGAGTCACCAAAGTGAGACACCTGGCTTTGAGTCACCAAAGTGAGACACCTGGCTTTGAGTCACCAAAGTGAGACACCTGGCTTTGAGTCACCAAAGTGAGACACCTGGCTTTGAGTCACCAAAGTGAGACACCTGGCTTTGAGTCACCAAAGTGAGACACCTGGCTTTGAGTCACCAAAGTGAGACACCTGGCTTTGAGTCACCAAAGTGAGACACCTGGCTTTGAGTCACCAAAGTGAGACACCTGGCTTTGAGTCACCAAAGTGAGACACCTGGCTTTGAGTCACCAAAGTGAGACACCTGGCTTTGAGTCACCAAAGTGAGACACCTGGCTTTGAGTCACCAAAGTGAGACACCTGGCTTTGAGTCACCAAAGTGAGACACCTGGCTTTGAGTCACCAAAGTGAGACACCTGGCTTTGAGTCACCAAAGTGAGACACCTGGCTTTGAGTCACCAAAGTGAGACACCTGGCTTTGAGTCACCAAAGTGAGACACCTGGCTTTGAGTCACCAAAGTGAGACACCTGGCTTTGAGTCACCAAAGTGAGACACCTGGCTTTGAGTCACCAAAGTGAGACACCTGGCTTTGAGTCACCAAAGTGAGACACCTGGCTTTGAGTCACCAAAGTGAGACACCTGGCTTTGAGTCACCAAAGTGAGACACCTGGCTTTGAGTCACCAAAGTGAGACACCGGGCTTTGAGTCACCAAAGTGTGACACCTGGCTTTGAGTCACCAAAGTGAGACACCTGGCTTTGAGTCACCAAAGTGAGACACCTGGCTCTGAATCGCCAAAGTGAGTCATAATGTCTTTGAGTCGTCATATGCTTTTGGGTCACTGAAGTAAGTCACGGTAAATTTGAGTGGCCCAAGTGATTCAGCATATTACTTAGTTGCTTTAACTTTGACTCTCAAATGTGGATCACCATGACTCACTCATTTACTTGAGAGTCATGAAGAGAAGAGTGCTCAGTTCCGGGCCCCAGTTGGGCTTTCAACGCCGCCATTGAGTGCCGACGAAACGGCCTCATTAAGAGCTTAACGAGAACGGCCCCGCGTTGCCGCTCTCAAATCCTGCCATCGAATTCGGTATCGCGCCGATAAGTTATTGATTTGTTATAAGCAGAAAATGAATACATCTTTCAATTGCAAAAATGGAGTAGATTTGTGAATAGTAACATTAAATCTTAAAATTAACGAAAGCTTGCATAATTAAAGAAAAATTGTAAAATTGATGTATATATCCAAAATTGACGCAAAATGGAAAAAAATTGTAAACATGAGAAAAATTGCTAAAATTGAGAAAATTTGTGTAAAATTTAGAAAATTAAGAAAATTTACGTAAAAAAGAAAAGAAAAATATTACGTATAATTGCAAAATTGAAAAACTCCAGAAGTGACGTAAAATTGCAATATAAGGAAACAGTCAAGAAAATTACGTGTAAACGCAAAATATGGTCAAAGTGAAGCTTTTGAAATTACATTACAAAATCGACGTGACCGTTCGTGATTAAATTGGTCATATAAAGTTTCAATTATTTCTCTGCAATTTCATCGATAAATGCGTACACGTAAACGAAAAATATTATAGAAAGAAGATAAAAGCCGTGAAAATAGAAGGATGGGAATCTGAGAAAAATATAGCAAGGAAAATGGCAACAAAAATTCGTTTGATTGAATGAAAAGTTCAGGCGTAGATAATTAGAAATTGAAACATCAAAATCATCGATCTAAGAAAATAGAATATTGCAAAGTTCTTAGAAAATAATTTGTCAAGCTCAATAATATTCATACTTTTGTCTCAGTATCAGTACTTATGTATACTCAGTATCATACTTTCATACTGACTACAACGAATTAAAGTAATGTTGTTTGAAACTGGGAT